AACAAAGGTCTAGTGTTTATAGACATTTTAATACAGAAATATTACCTATTATATCTTTAAGTCAGTTTTCTTTTTTCTCTTTTATAACAATTTTGATACTGTTGAAACACTGGTTAGCTCTAGTTAACTTGTCACCTTTGCAGTGCACAGATTTGTGATTGGGGGTTGTATAAGCTATTTGTCTGCGAACAATAGCCCTGATGTAGTCATATGATTGAGATTAGTAAACTTGAATCCCTGATGTGAGCCTGTTTTGTTCATGCTCTGCCCTCTAGAAAGGTGGCCTGTAAACTTCACACTGCCTTTTGTTTTGTTAGTTTTTTTTCTCCACTTATAAGTCTAGTTTTGTTAATTCACTTGATGAGCCTTTTCACATATACTGTAGTACTATGTGTGGCCTCCAGAGGATTTCTAAGAATTTATTGATGATATATTTGACAGACACAGGATATGCATACACACGTCAAGTAATTTATTCAGTAATTTATTGTGATTTAATATATAGCTTATATATTTGTCATATAGTACATGTCCACAGGGGTGTTTTTCAACAGGGTGCCCTTGAAACGCATAGACTATGAATTGAAAACGTTCAAATGACTGGTCCTGTGGACACATACCAATAGTATCCTAATACCGTCCAAATCTAATTACCTCAGTTATTAGTGCTCTGGCATGAATAAAACCACAACTAAACAGAAAATATGAGTCCATTGTTTGAAATGATAAAAAGTTGTGAAAGTTGTTAATAGTTCCATCCCCCTCTTCTACTTTCAGACATTCTCCTTGTCCCGTCAGACGGCCCTCTAACCAGTATAAAGACAGCAAACCTACCAACAACCGCCTGAGCGTGGCTGTGAGGGCCCAGCAGAGGCAATCGCCTCGTGGGGCCAACGGGGACAGAAGCAAACCCTCCAAGGGCAAAGAAAAGAAAGAGTCAAAAGAGGTGAAGGAGGCTGCTGGCAAAGCAAAGGATGATAAGGTGAACAACATGTTAGTGAATTAAACACACCACCTTCTTCATAATATTACATAACATATATTCAAACACAACTATTTGCATTGTTGACTGAACAGTATCCACATGCTGCTTGTTTACCTACAGCCACGCTGAGCCTGTAATTCCAGTTTTTTGTCTGGGAGAAACCAGACCACATGGGTTTCATTCAGGGAATAGGGAAGAGTAATAGTGTCTTGTGTCTGCCTTCCAGAACAAAGCAGATGTCCAGGAGAAAGAAGTGAAAAGATTTGATGGGACAGGATATGACAAAGACCTTGTGGAAGCTCTGGAGAGAGATATTATATCTCAGAATCCAAATGTTAAATGGTACGTGTTCATCACAGCTTGAAAACTTGTGAAGAATCTTTGGTCTCATTTTGGTTAATGTACGTTGCTGTCTTAGTTTTTGTGGTAACCTAGGCTACATACTGTGTTTCCCAGAAGTAAAAACAAGCCAGTTTCCAAAGATGGTGGATCGTCTTTTTTTTTTTTTTTTTTCAGCCTTCCTGAGGACTGCCAAGTGTAATCTCTGTCTGTCCTGTTTCTTTAGGGACAACATTGCAGACTTGGAAGATGCAAAAAAACTACTTAAAGAAGCGGTCGTGTTGCCAATGTGGATGCCAGCATTTTTCAAAGGCATACGGAGACCATGGAAGGTGCTGATTTAAAGAAATTTTTGTTTTATATGTTTTGTAAAATGTATTGTTTGTATCAATGCACAGAATTTTTTTTTAATACTTTAGGGAGTGCTTATGGTGGGACCTCCAGGCACGGGGAAAACACTTTTGGCCAAAGCAGTTGCTACCGAGTGCAGAACCACATTCTTCAATGTCTCCTCATCTACTCTAACCTCCAAGTACAGAGGGGAGTCTGAGAAGCTAGTTCGCCTTCTCTTTGAAATGGTAAGACTTTAAATATGTGATTGAATCTCGCCCCTGATATTTTCATATCATGAGTGAATTGAAATGATACTGAAAAGTGAGAGGGATACTCATATTGCTTAACCCTCCAAGAACTAAGCATTTTTAGCTTTTGGCTGTTTTGGTTTTTCTTGCTTGCATATATATTATCTATATTTAGCCTCTCAGCTCTAATCAACCCCCCCATATATAACATCATAGTCAAGTCAAGTGTATATTACCTGCTTAGCATGAAATGGTAAGCAAGTGGATGGTAAACAAAGGAACACATCTAGAAAGCTGATTTGATATTCAGATGTTTTTCTCTGGAGTTAGTGGACAGGGGAGTAAGAGCAGAGTGAAATATTGGAATTAATTTTGTTAGGTAACCAATTTGATGCCCATGTTGTTTTATGTCTCAGCCATAACTTTACAAGTTGATAGTATGTCCAGTCTGTTTATCTGTGAATCATGCCCTCTAGTGGGCAGAAATCAGTCAATACAGCTGGAAATGTGGATGTGAATTTCTTGATCGTGATTGGTATAGAATTAATTGTGCAGACCTAATCTACTTTTTTAACTACATACACATTTATTTAGATTTATGTTATTTTTGTAAATATTTAGCAGTGTTCCTGATAAAGTTACTGTACCTTTTTTTTTTTTTTATAAATACAACTACCTTAGAATTACAAACTGTTGAGAAGAGCAAAGAAGTTGAGGTTTTTGTGGGACTCATTGCGTGTGCTCTTGTACAGGCACGTTTTTACGCTCCAACTACGATCTTCATTGATGAAATTGACTCCATGTGCAGCCGCAGAGGGACTTCAGAGGAACATGAGGCCAGTCGGAGAGTCAAGGCGGAGCTACTGGTGCAGATGGATGGTATAATGTTTATGAGATGTTCTTGTATGCTGACAAAAACACAGTTGTATTTACCAAGTCTTATATTTGCTCTTTGTTTTCTGTTGAACCACTTTATCAATCTTAACAAGCCAACATTAGTTTTCAGCACCATTTCCTATTATTCTGAATTTTAGAAGTGGCTTTTTCCATTATTGTGGCATTTGTGTAGGTGTCGGTGGAGCATCAGAAAACGATGACCCATCCAAGATGGTGATGGTGCTGGCTGCTACCAACTTCCCATGGGACATCGATGAGGCCCTGAGAAGACGGCTGGAGAAGAGGATCTACATCCCTCTGCCTTCAAGTACAGTAATTTCTTTGCTGCTTGACAGTGTAGACTACATACGTAAGTCTCATGAAACATTGGATTTATTGAAAGTGATCGACTGACCTGTGAGCTTTAACTGTTCAACAACTAGAAAACGTGATGGGCCGTGTAAGATAGGTGTTGCCAGAGT